GGCATGGGGTCTGAACTTACCAGCCGCCTTGCAATAGAAAGACAGACAATATCCTTCCATGTGATCTACAGGCTCTGAAAACCCACTGAGGGTCAGTCATTAGTCAGCTCCAACTTCACAGCACACAATGACAACAACAACAACAATTGATTTTCCCAGTCACAACAGCTGTTAATAAAATTGGAAGCTTTGTTATTGTTAATTGCATAAGATAATAGCCATGATTAGTTCCTAAGAAGAAGGAAATGATATACTTGTCAGGCAGTTCAAAAGACCCACCAGAATTTAGGAGTCATAATTTCAGAATGAGGCTGCAAAGTCTGGTGATAAGCACTTTGCCTGTCATGTTCAGCTGTGTGCGGATGTTCAGCTGTGTGAGGACACGTATACAGTAAATCAGACATGGGGTTCTGCTATTAAGGTGTGAAATAAGAGGTACAGAGGAAAATATATGCAAAAGAGCGAGTAGAATGATGAACTTAACCTCAGTTAAGCAGGTGACAAATTAAGACAAGAGAAATGTGAAAGAAAAAAAGCTGGCTCAACCAAATGATAGTGGGGTCAGAAGTGGTCAAAGGATCTCTTGATTCAAGGTAATCAAGAGAATAAACCAACTAACTTCTTCCTTCATATTAGGCTACTCCTTTGGCAGAGCAGTTCTTTCTCATCAGGAGTTGAAAAGAGAGGTAGGGATTATTTGCCCTATTCGGGTGGCTATGAATATAGGAGGTCATAGAGATGGTGAGTTAACAAGATGAACTGTATCTTTACTCAAAGTCCATCATTTGAATACAACAGCTGCTTCACAGGATAAAGAGGGGATTTTCTTCCCATGTAGTTCACTGCCTTTGAAAACCTGCTACAGGGTCAGCTATGGATCGGTTCCAACTTGAAGATACACAGCAATAATCATTACTGAAGGTTATTAAGTGCCAGGTGCTATGTGAGGTATTTGAAATATATTATATAGTCAAAACATGCCTATACAGTATTCATTATAAAGAAACAAGGTAAAGGTCTGCATAAACATCAAAAACCCTACACTCAGGAAAATTACATAGGTCACAGTGCTAGCAAATGAGGCGCTATGTGAAATTCCTGTGTGTGTGCCTCCAGTTTGAGGGCTTCCTGTATTCTGTATATGCCAAAATGGTATCCCTAAATACTGAATACATGGAGCAATGACTATTTCTCCTGTTACAATGTTTCTGAGACAAAGGAGGGACACAGAAAACAATAAGGAACAGATGGCACTCCAAAACTCAGTATTACTGAATCATACCCAACAGAGTGTGGAAACGATAGAACAGTATCCTTGATTTCACATGCAAGCAAGATTCTCCTGAAGATTACCCAAAAACGACTGGAACAGCACATCAGCAGAGAAATGCCAGAAGGCCAGGCTGGATTTAGAAGGGGTCGTGGTACTAGGGATATTATAGCTAATGTTAGACGGATCTTAGCTGAAAGCAGGGAATACCAGAGGAATGTACATCTGTGTTTCATTGATTATGCAAAGGCATTTGATTGTGTGGATCATAACAAACTTGTGGCTGACTCTGAGAAGAATGGGAATCCCAGAACACTTGATCGTGCTAATGCCAAACCTATACTTGAACCAAGAGGCAGTCGTCAGAACAGAGCAGGGAAACACTGCATGGTTCAAAATTGGGAAGGGCATACACCAGACAGGCTGTCTCCATACCTTTTCAACCTGTATGCAGAACAGGTTATCTGGGAGGCTGGGCTCTATGAGAAGTGTGGTGTCAGGATTGGTGGAAGATTCATCAACAATCTGTGTTATGCATATGACACAATCCTGCTTGCTGAAACTGAGGAAGACCTGAAGCACTTGCTTCAGAGTGTCAAGGACTGCAGCCTCCAATATGGATTGAGGCTCAATGTGAAGAAGACAAAGATTCTCACCACTGGACCAATTGGCAGCATCAGGATGGATGGTGAAAAGACTGAGACTGTTCACAGCTTTAGTTTGCTTGGCTCCACAGTCAACACTCTCAACACCAGTAGCCAGAAAATTGAAAGATGTATTATGATGGGAAAGTCTGCTGTTAGGGACCTCTCTAAAGTACTGAAGAGCAATGGTGTCTGTATGGAGACTACAGTGCATCTGATACAGGCCATGGTCTTTGCTATCACTTGTTATGTATCAGAGAGTTGAACAGTGACTAAGAAGGATAGAAGAAGAACTGATGCCTTTGAGCTGTGGTGCTAGAGAAGAGTATTGAGGGTACCATGGACTGCTAGGAAAACAGATTCATCCTGGAAAGGGTTATACCAGGCAGCTCCCTAGAGGCAAGGATTCTGAGGCTCCGTCTAACATACTTTGGACATGTTGTAAGGAGGGACCGGTCCTTTGAGAGGGACATCATGCTAGGCAGGGTGGAGGGACAGCACAGGGGGGGAAGGCCCTCTATGAGGTGGACTGATTCAGTGACTGGGGTAATCGGGATGGGTGTATCAGAGACAGTGCAATTGGCAGAGGACAGAGCAGAGTTTAGGGCTGTTGTACATAGGGTCGCTAAGAGTCGCAAGCAACTGGATGGCACATAACAACAACAACATGATAGAAATGCTGTTATTTTAACTGATAAAAACTATGAATTATCAGGTACCCTGGAAATATACATATTTTTACTCTTGAAATAAAACCCATTATATCATAACATATATTTTTAAAATTTAATCATATATCCTGCTCTATTTTTCCATACTTTATTTTGCTGTAACAAGTAAAATTTGTGCAGAAAGAGGTATTCAGAGGACTTTTTTTTAAAAAAGAGCCTTTGTTATTCTGCTTTTGTAATTACTAAATATTTTCCAACATCTCAACAATATAATACTTTTTCAAGACTGCAGGCATTAGAATGATTGTCATTCATGCAAATAATCACTTACTTACACTATATGAGTTCAGGTTGGATAAAGCAAATTACCATTTGAAAATAATTCAAATAACACTCTGGGCTAAGACCTTGCTTATGAATGTTATCTTGGCCACAATATTTCTTAACCTCCTTCCATTTAGCTAGATTTTTTATGGTAATACAGTCCAAATTAATAAACTATTCAATTGCCACAGGTGTATTAAACATACAATGATGCAGAAATATATCAGATGCAAATAAATTTTAAAATATGTAATTTATTTTGAAGTCCATAGCAGATTAAGATGTGCTATAACCACCTATTAAAACATGTACATTTTTTGCCTGTGCAGCACGTGGAAAAAAAATGCCAATGCTAAAGTTAATAAAAAACCACCTTTCCAACATATAACTGAGCTTTGGCTAATCATGTCGTTGCTCTTATGTGCCATCAAGACTTCTGTGACTGAGCGACCCTATGTACAACAGCTCTGGAGCCCTACCTGTCCTGAGCCAGTATCACTGGCTCCAACACACCAGCCACAATGCTTCAGTTACTGTATCAACTCATCTCATCTGGGTCTTCCTCTCCTGTTCTGTCTGTCCACCCTCCAAGCATGATGTCCTTCTGCAAAGACTGATCTCTCCTTGCTACGTGCACAAAGTAAGTGAGATGGAGCTTCAAAATCCTAGCCTTCAAAGAGAGACTTGCCTGATAATAACTCTATTCAATATTTTTCATCATATATAAGAAAATGAAGTATAAGTACAGTTCCAGTTAAGTTTGTGATTCCCAAAACCCCAAGTAAATCATTAAATGCTTTTGACGAATGACCTATAATGACAGGGAGCTTGAACAGCAAACAGAAAATGAAATCTGAAGTCAAATGGCTTAAACTTTAATCAGTGAACAACAAGCAGAGTGAATACAAGCTAATCTCTTTCCTTGCATGGGTCTTCTGAACTCCACAAAGTAAAAATTGAGCAGTGTTGTGCAACTTAAGTTTTATGACCCACTAACCCACCAGAGGGCCAGCTACGGGTTGGTCCCAACTCTATATAGCACACAATAACAAACAGCAACAACTTACGATGAGTTGGAACAGACTGGATGGCACAGCGGATTTGATGTGGCAACTTGATTTGGTAAATGGCAGATTTTTCTTCAGTGAGATATGTGTACATGGACCACACAGTACAACCTGGATGAGTTCAGTAAGTACAGAGCATAGAGCTTAATGCTGCTCTTCTGCATGGCATGTGTGGACATTAAAATCCTTAATAGCAGGGGTGGGGAAATACAGTTGTATTTGAACTCTTAAACAAGGCCGTTGATTACAAAATACCAGCATCTCTAGTAAGTAAGAGTCACACTGAGGCAAGTTCTCAGGGAGAGAAATGTTTCCTGTGGTTGTAAAAATGACTAGGTTCAATTAAAGTGAAACATTAATTCCATAAGGTTTCCTTTGAGCAACCCAATTCAGAGTGAGCTGAGCACCAAAGGCAGTTAAGAAAAATAAATAAATAAAAGTTCCCTAAATGACTAAGAAAGAGAGTATCAGTTACTGAGTACATTTGCAATTTAATGTAGAATATTCAACTCTGTACTAAAATATTTTAGGTGATAAAAATCATAGAAAGGGGGAAAAATAAAAGAAAATGTCACGGGAAAAGGAACACAATTTAAGAAGTGAGGCAACGCAATGATTTAACTGGAGCAATTACTATTAACAGATAAAAGTCAAAGGACAGATACTGAAAATAAATGTTGAAAAATTCATGACAACGAGGTTTGTTACCAAAAAAACACCTCCCAAAAACTAAACAAACATTAAAAAAGCCAGCAGAAAGGGCTAAAAGCTGATGTACTTTACTTTTGGCAAACAAAAGAATGATAGAATAAAAAAAAAAAATCAGTACCAACTAATATTCAGGGACAGGCCTACCTATTTGATTATTTATAATTGTCAATCATAGTATGGTCAATTAGAATTCAATGAATTGATTAACTATGCTAATATAAAAAAATATAAATTGGCAAGAACAGCGCCAATTCCTATACATTTGAAGATCAATGTATGGCACAATGCTAAGAACAGAGTTGGACATACTTACCTGCTTATATCAGGAAACCTGATGGGAAAGTAAACAACTTGGCACTTGGGTCTGATTAAGCTTTCCAGATCCTTGGGTCTGTGATCAGGAATCAACTTCATGAATTTCCCAATGGAAGTGAGAAACGACTCCATATTAAAAACTGAGTTGAATACTACCACATCAGCCACCAGACTGTAAAACAAAAAGATAAAGATATTTAACTCTGAATTAGCATCTGTGTACATGGTACCTTAAGTTTGCAAAGAATTCTCATTTCTCATCATTATGTATGAGAATGGTTCTAACAGTTAGTTCTCTTGTTATTACATCATGAAAAGATGATCAGGCAACCAAAGAAGGGAGGACAGTGATGAAATAAAAGTAATTGACAGAATCACCTAAGGCTTTCAAACCAGCATATAATGTTCCACAAAGCCAAATATTTTCAGTGTTAAAACAATAATAGTCAGATGTCTGTATGTTGGTGGAAAAGGGTGTATGCAAAGGTGTCCATCTCATTTATGTATGCTAGCTTTCTGTAGCAGTGATGAGTATCTGAGAATTTTGCATTCTCATGATAAATCAAGAAAATGAATTCAGATCTGGTTATTTCGGTTCTATTTCCAAACTAAAAGAAATACATTTGGCTAATGTCTACTTCTTGTTCTATGATTTGCTTTGACCATTTTACCTTCTAAAAGCTCTAACCCTACACAGGAAGGAAAAACTCCCATTTCTACAAATAACTTTCTTCATTATTATATTTGAGGTTGTCAAAGAAGTAGCTGAAATAAATAGAAATAGAAACAGAAATCAAAATTATCAGGTGCCCTTCTCAACCTCAAAGAAGTCCTAGGTCCTATTCACGTAAGGGAGCTCTGGTAGTATAATCCATAGATAACTGAGCCTCTAACCCAAAACGTTTCTGTGAGGTTCAAATCTATCAGCTGCTCTGCATGCTTTAGAGACTTGGAAACAAAACGGAGGGTCAGCTATGAGTCAGAACCATTTCTATGACAATGACAGAAAGAGACTGATTATACATACCAATGTATTTTGAAAAATCACAAATGTGATAATGACTATTGCTTTTGACTGTGTTTTTTAAAAAATGTTTTGTGTATTATAAATCATTTCAAACATATTATTCAGAAAGAATGAAAAAAAAGTTTGTGTCATAAACATGTCAATACTTACCTGAACTGCCCAGAAGTTTGGATGTATTTATGTGTTTTTAAAGATATCACATAATGATCATGGTTAAACAGGATTTAACCAGAATATATACTATTTGAGAGGAAGCTCTGGTAGCCTAGTGGTAAGAACTGTGCTCCAAGCCCAAAGGTAAGTTGTTCAAATCCATCAGGTGCTCCATGGGAAGAAGATAAGCAATCTTGTCCCATGCAATTTATAGCTTCTAAAAACCTGCTGGAGGATCATCTATGAGTTGGTTGTGACTTATTGGTACATAACAACATAAGATTCAGGCTTTATAAAGTATTTAAATTTTAAAAAAATCTAACTAATACAGCTTTAATTTTTTTTTTCTAAAACCTGTCTTGCTTTCAGCAATGACTCAGTGCAATTGGATTTCTATCAGATATGTACAAAGCTTGAATAATGTATATATGATTAAATAGTCTAAGCGGTTAGTTTCATTTCATACAGAAAATGGTAGATCAAGAACATTAAAAACAGGACATGTAAATCTATAGGAGCATAAAAAACAAAGGCTACCCTAAAATTTTTGGTTTATTTTGTGAGATGTGGTTTGTTTGGGTATCGATGTTTTGGTTTTTTTTCCTTTCTCTTTTTCTAGATGTAACACAGCACAAACATGCGGAGGTGGATTGATTACAGTGTAGATAATACAAAAGAATTTAGAATGTCATGGAAAGTGCTGAGTTAACACCAAGCAATAAGGAAACCAATATAATAATATAACAAAAGTTGAAGGATGTTTTACGGCTAGTCTGTTTTCGCCATATGTCACATATTGTAATAGCGACCTACAGTTCACAATATATAGTTACAACATGTGTTCATAAGTCAGAGGGTCAGTGAAACCTCTATTTAAGGTGAGTACCTATGTCAGTCATCTTTAAAGTCTTTAATTGCCACACAGTCAAGAAAAAAATCTGAAGGTGCCAACAAAAGCAGAAGTCAGCAAGAAAACTAAAGAAACATTTGAGAAAACAAGACTGTTTCTGACACTCTTATTTTTCCTCTGGAAGATTGTGAACCATTTTTTTCCCATTATGAAGTCAATGGATGAGCAAGTTCACTTCTTTCCTACCAGGCTTCCTATCAGTTTAACCTCTAGTGGTTGGTAAAGCTGACAAATCATGTTCAAGCTTTAATTACCCCATTTCCCATGAAAAAAAACAAAACAAAACAAATAAAACAAAAAACAAACCCTGTTTGTTATGAAAGCGCGATGAAGAACAGTTAGCTAATTTTTTTTTTTTAGATATTCACCCTCATAAGACATGCAATCCAACTATTTATATTCTTATAAAATCCAGTCTACGCTAAACTAAAGATCCAAGACAGTTAACAGAAATATTATTTTTGGTGCATTTCCTTCCTGATATGAGTGGGTATAACTTCCATTAACTTTAATATCCACCCATAAAGGGAAAAACAGACTTAATTTTTTTTCTCAGTGATTTCTTAGGAGTAATAAGCACACATTATCGGAGGAAATTCAAGAAATCAAAAGACAATTAAAAATGTTTTCCATATTGATAAAGCACAAAATGATTTTTTTTGTTTTGAAAACATATTTCCATTCTCTGTTTCAATATAAAATAAAGTATTTTAATTTTATTGTGAAATTTTCAAATGGTTGCTTTTTTATGAGACATCTGAAGTGAAGCAGTTCCACTCTATTTTGATAGCACTGCTTCTTCACAATTGAAGCAGCTTGTAAAAATGATTGCAAGGAAACATTTACAAAATGCTCAAAACATGGAAATATTACTAGATAGCTGTTTTTCTATGTCAACTAAGCTATGGAATGCACTTGCAAGAGATATGGGCTGTTTAAATTCATCATCCATCCCAGGTTCTAATAACTGTTAATAAACGAGAGTAAAAAGTACCAATTCACTGCCAAGCTGACAGGCCGTCTTGGTCAATCAAACACTCTTGCAGTTCAGTTGTATAGGATTCTGTGGTGAAGCAGTTTCCCAGGCTTGCTATTAACTACTTTCATTAAATAAGCTCCAGGAAATATACTTCGTTGAGGTAATAATGAAGAAGGATAGTCACCTCTGAAATGCCATGGTATTTTAAGGCTGTGCAATCTCAGAAAACTCAATGAGGGAAAACAACCACAATGACAAGACCCTGAAGATTCCTTACCATAGTTTTGTTTTTTTCCCTGTCTTACAAGTAACAACAATAAAATTTTTTAAAAATTGGCAAAACACATTTGCTTATTATACTTTATTATATTATCTGGAGTCCCCCACTCCCCGTAAAGGTCTATATTTATTTTACCTGAACGCAGTGAACACTGTAAGTAAAATCATACGGACTATCTTTTTCTAAAAGTGTATCTGTAAACAACAGATCCTGAAAGGATGAAAGGTGAAAGACCTTTCACAATTCTTGGATTATGCTCTGAATCTTGTGCAAAATAGAATTGGATTATTATTTCAATAAATATTGTTACATATTTGCATTTTCATAAGAGCATTTGCCATTCTGAAGAACAAGTAATTACTACCACAGACATATACTTACATATTTGTAACTTATTGTTCAATATTTTTTTTTAATAGGTACATGATAGGTCTCCAAACATAAAAGCTAACCATCTCTAAGGAAAACAGTACAGTGGCAATGGATTGAATATAATGATACAATCTACACCTACCATGAAAGAATTTGGTTGTATCCATATTGGAAATCCCTCTCCTGACATTTCTTGACAGGATATACCAATTGGTTCTCGTGGAAGTACAGAATCTTTTTCAATTTCCCAAGGTCAGGGCGAAGGGCAGCCAGTTCGGTCAGGTTAAGCACTGAGCTTGCAAAGAGGATCCTAGAAAACAAAGAAATTAGAGTTTATTGTCCTGACATGCTTAACGGGGTCATCCTTTGCCCTCCTTCTCTCCTCGTCCCTCATCCCACCCCAAGAAAAACATATCCCCTATAGGGACACATCAATAGTTAAGCCTTAATACCATGTAGCAGCATTCTAAGTTTTGATCTCTTAAAAAGCAGCTGCTAAGAACTATAAAAGCCCTGAATCTCATTGGTCTTCTCAGCTCAGTTACTGAGAAATGCAAAATAAAAAAAAAAAAAAAGCTGGATGGATTTTATTGAAAAAGGCAAGAAAAGCCCTATCTGAAGGACAAATGGAACAAAGATAAGGCTGACTGGGGAATACTTTGCTTGCCAGTTTCATTACACTTTACTTCTTTATGCAACCAACTACTGAAATTCAATATAGGAGCAGGAATGGCACATGCTCATGTTATGACATAAACCTTTTTGATTTATGCAATAGACTTATCTAGTGTGGTCTTTTTCACTTGGAATTTTTTTTTCTCCTCTTACTACCCATCTCTTTTCCTTCCTTCCTTCCTTCCTTCCTTCCTTCCTTCCTTCTTTCTTTCTTTCTAAAAAAAACTCAGCAACACTTGTTTTTTTTATCTTTCCTTCCCCATCGCTGGATTGTTAATGGTACCAGATGTACATTCTGTAAAATCTGTAAAGCAGTAGTCTAAAAAAATATTATGAAACACTAATTTTCTGTGCAAGGGAATATAGATACACTGAAAGCTTACCTATGCATGTTTCTGAGAGCCAAGTGTCTGCTTAATCATTCACTCCACACATATTTGCTAAATGCCTACTGTGTGTCAGGATCTAACTAGAAAGAAACAATGAGTAAGGCAGCCCATCAGATGAATGCCGCCTGTAACTTTGACAGGTGGACAGCTATTAGAGGAACAGAGAGGAGTCATAACTGTCTGAGACAACCTGGACATGTTTTGCTAGCGAGCTCTCTACCATATATGGACACAAAAAGGTACAAACTGCATTCCCTGCAGGGGACAGCTGAAGACACTTAGCATGACTTTGATGCAATGCCACCTTTATAAGATAAAATAACTTGACCCTTATGACTTTAACTTATATATTCTGAAAAATTAGGGTCAAGGTCACAAGTTTTCCTAAGATCGGAGTGGTAGAAAGTGGTAAAGCAAAGATTCCTTGGTCTTCCAAGCTTGACAAGTTTTACTTTACATCATTTATATGAATTGGCTGTAAATCACTTACAACGCAATTTTTTTCTATACTCAATAAATACAAAATATCATCCTTGTTATTACTATTATTACAATCTTATAAATCCTCCTGTGCTGACAAGCCAAATGGTTGACTTCAGGTGTTTATATAATCTGCAGCACTAGGCCTTTCACATAACAAGAATGATTATATAAAGAGTACATAGATCATGAATAGGAATCTAAGTGCCTGTTCATGGTCTAAAAGAGCACGAACATAAGACCAAAAGGCAGTGAACTCCTCTTTAAACTCACATGATTGTATAACAGTTATATAGCTCTTTAAAATAGAAATATACTATCAAAGATACAATTTTTTTAAAATGCTTGTTTTGCATTCACCTGAAGCAAGCAGAAAAACAAGCAAACAAAACCTATGGCCAGATAATGTATTATTTTGTCCATAGATATCTCTATCCAAACCCTACTAACAAACACAAACACCAAGTTCAAGCCTTTCCAAAACTTAGATGGAAAATTCTGGAATACAGACATATCACAACAAATCTAATATTTGGCAGAGAGAACAACAAAATGTTAATCTCACTAAATGCTTTCATTCATTTTCTTGGAAGGGAATGAATGTCAACTTGTGTATCTCACTCATTCACACACTGCAGTCAAGTGGGAACTGACTCATCATTACCCATCAAGTGGTTTTACAAGGCTATAAATCACAGCGGAGGGTACTGCTCATCTTTTTCCCGTGGAGCCGCTGCTGGATTAGAACTGCTAGTGCAACTCCGCACGGACTGGTCCACCAGAGCTCCTAATACTCCTTCTCTTCCTCCCTTCTATCCACAACTACAGGAAAAAACTTGGATAACTTAATCATTAAGACCTGAGCAGGCTCAACGGTTTTCACGCAGCAATAATATATTAAATGCAGACCCCAAATCACATATGACTCATATAGAATACGGAACCTCTATAGTAGGTCTTGTGGACATAGGAACTTGAAAACTATAGAAGCTGCCAAAAAAAAAAAAAAAAGAATTGACAAAATAAAGAGTACCTGAAATAACAGAAATACATGAAAATGCAATCCAGAATATTAAGACCAAAATGGTAGAACTACCTAACATGCAGGAAGGACAAAAAAACAGAATAGAAGAGATGGAACAGAGAGCCAATGAACTAGAGCATAAGATCTTCAAAGGGGTATGTTGTTGCTGTTATGTGCCATCAAGCTGCCTGTGACCCTCTGTACAGCAGCTCTGAAGCTTTCCCTGTCCTGAGCCAGTCTCATGAATTCTGACACACTTAACCCTATTACCCCAGTTACTATATCAATCCATCTCATCTGGGGTCTTTCTCTCCTGCACCATTCCTCCACCTTTCTAAGAGTGATGTCCTTCTCCAAGGACTGATCCCTCCTGGCCATATGCCCAAAGTATATGACATGGAGCGGAAGAAAAATCTGAATCATGTGGGATAACATCAAAAGGAGTATCATGCATATCATTGGAATTCTAAAGCATGAAAGGGACAGGGGAAACACTGGTAAAATTGTGTAAGAGGCACTAGAAGAAAACTTCCCAGGTATTATAAAGAATAGAGAATTCCATAATCAAGCAGCTCAGTGAACTCCAAACATACTAGACCCCAAAAGAAAACCATCAAGACATATCAAATTCTCCAACGTAAAAGGACCGAATACAGCATGAAAAAAAAAGAGTCACCAACAAAGGAGAATCAATTAAATTAAGCTATAATTTTTCATCATGTGAAAACCATGTGAGTGAGAAGAAAATGTGACAGCATATTCAGAAGGCTGAAAGAAAACAACTGCCAGCCAAAGAGCCTGTACCCAGCAAAGCTTCCCATCAAATATGAAATCAGGTAATTTGCAGAAAAGCAGTAACATAAGAATTTGTGATAATAAAACAGCTCTACAAGAAATTCTAAGAGAAGTCCTCAGACAGAGACACCAAAGGAAAGTAGATGGACCATTAACAGAAACATGTAATCAGAAACAGAAAATGGGCAGAGATAAAACCCAGCCTATTAATTATCACACTTAGTGTGAATGGATTAAATGTGCCAATAAAGAGAAAAAGAGTAGCAGAATGGATTAAAAAGCAAAGCATAATATATGTTGCCCACAAGGATACACATCTAAGAAACTGGGGGCGGGGGGAAGGGGCTGGAAAAAATATACCAAGCAAATGGTGCCCACAAAAATACAGAAGGCAATATATTCATCGCTAATAAAATGGACTTCAGGATGAAAACTGCCATAAAAGATAAGAAAGGGCAATATAAAATGATTTAAGGTCTCAATAGATCAAGAATACAAAGCCTTGATCTGTATTTATGCACCAAATGATAGACCTGTAAAATACACAAAACAATGGTTAAAAAAATTGAAGGAAGAAAGAGACAGCAACACAATAATAGTTGTTCTTACATGTCACTGAGTCGCTTGGGACTCAGTAATCCTATGTACAACAGCTCTGAACCTTCCCTATCCTAAGCCAGTCTTACTGTATCCAACACCCCTACCTCTATTTCCCCAGTTACTGTGTGCCAATCCATTTCATCCAGGGTCTTCCTCTTCTTCACTGTCCCTCTATCCCTCCAAGCATGTACCAATTCCTCTTCAAGGAGGTCTCTCCTGGTCACATGTCCAAAGTATGTGAGACAGAGTTTCAAAATCCTTTCCTCCAAGGAGCATCTTGGTTTCATCCTGACAGACTTGTTTGTTCTCTTGGCTGCCCATGGTATGTTCAATAATACTATTCTCCAGTACAGCTAAAAGGCATCAATTCTTCTCCTGTGATTCCTAGTCACTGTTCAGCTCTCTGATGCATAGCAAGTAACTGTGAAGATCACAGACTGAATTAGGTGCACCTTAGTCTTAAGACTGATATCTGCTCTTTAGCACTTTGGAGAGGTCCCTGACAAAAGATTTCCCCAATACATTTCATCTTTTGATTTCCTGACTGTTGGTGTCAAGAGTGTTGATGGTGGAGTCAAGCAAGCTGAAATTGTTAATAACCTCAATCTCAGATCCATCTATAATGGTGCTGCCACTTGCCCCACTGGTGAGAATCTTTGTCTTCTTGATGTTGAACTTCAATCCATATGGAAGAGAGCAGTCCTTGACCTTCTGCAGCAAATACTTCAGGTCCTCCTCTGTCTGGGCAATTAAGGTTGTGTCATCTGCATAATGTAGGTTGTTGATGAGTATTCCTCTAATTTCCATGCCACATTCGTCCTCATAGTAAGAGACTTGAAACACACCACTTTCACCAAGGAAAGGTTAATTCAAAAGAAACTTTAAAAGATGCAGAAGATCTAAACTATACAACCAGCCAACTTGACCTTGTGTATGAATTTAGGATATTGTACCAAAGTTAAGTCAATTTACTTTCTTTTCAAGTGCACATGGTCAATTCTCCAAAACTGATCATATATAGACACAAAGTAAGCCTCAACAAACTGAAAAACAGTGAAATAATAAGAAGTGTCTTTTTAGACAACAATGCTATAAAACTAGAAATTAATGACAAGAGCTTGTACCTCCATGGAAGCTAGTCCATCTCATTTCACCATTACCTAGTACTGTCAATATTTATGTGTTCCATTTCTTTCTTAACAATGTCCAATTTTCCAACATTTATGCTTCTCACATTCCATGTTCCAATCACTAGTGTCTGTTTACAATTGTTCTTCCTCCTTTGTGTTTCCATATTTGAGGGTTCAGCATCAGTTGCCATATCTGCTAGTCTAAGTGTGCTCTATT